CAGCGATTAGCCTTACTAACCCTAACCCTGTCTGATTCTATTCGTAGCAGTGCGTCCTTCTTCCGTGTATAGTAGTTTGCGTCCAATTAGTATAATTTATCAAAATTACATACTCGATTATGTGATAATTCTGTTGGCTAGTTCAGCATGATAAATGACCGCTCCGTAGTGTGAGCCTGGGCATCCATGGCAGGAATGACACCAAACATTGACCATCTATGTTCATTGACCTAGTCAAAAATGTACAATATTGGCCAGATTTCTGCTGCAGTACGGTACCCGAAGACCATACACTCAGCCAGAAGTGACAATCAGTGTTCAAGCGCCCCGCAAGGTCCGGCCATTGCAGATCATACCTGGCGATTCTCTACCAGTTTTCGCCATCCCTTTGCCATATCTCGCCAATCTGGCCGTGTAAGACGGATCCCGGACATAACTGACCATTTCTTTCGCTTTTTTGCTGATGTGGCGGACACTTTGACCCACTCCGCCTAACCGCCCAAGCAGGAAGGTTATCGACAGCAACCGCTCGCGGAAACACATATATACAGGTGTAGTACGCCAGCCTGTACGTCCTCCCACGTTATGGATTGGCCTACTTTTGACTCCATAATCTCACAGCGCCAGATCTCGCTCGCCACAGTGATCTTTACCTCCATATGCATAATCTACCTACGCTCTGTTCTCCTATGGAGAGCCCGCTCACGAGGGCGACCGCTGCCGCCCGGTCCGCGACCTCTCCCTTTCGTCGGGAACCTGCTAGATATGCCCCAAGTCAGGATGTGGGAAGGGTTTAGGGATCTTAGCGCAAAGTATGGTAGGCCTCCATTCACATCATGCTCCCCCTAGGGCAATATAGGCCGACGCGCCATATATGCTACAGGCGACATGATCCGGTTGCGGATGTTCAGCCAGGACATGGTCGTGCTTGGGAGCCCTGGGGTGATTTTTGAATTGCTTGACCGGCGCTCTGCGAATTCCTCAGATCGCAAGCAGACACCGAGCATACCCCTGTATGTATGTATCCTTCACCTTTTATCTCATGTGCTGACACATGAAGCTGCTTAACAGGATGGGCCACGATACAACGTTCGGGCTGATGTCTGCTGGGCAGACGTGGAAGAACCACAGGCGGGCATTTTGGCAGCAGTTCAACCCGACCGCCGTCACAAAATATTATGCCATGCAGCGCGAGATGGCATATATGTTAGTAGGCATGATGTTCAAAGAGCCAACAGAGCTCGAGAAGAACTTACAAGAGTGAGTACTACCCTACTTAATCAGCTCAACGTGCCAGTGGTCGACCCAAGCAATCGTTCATCTTATCCTACAGCTCGATCGCTGCAATGCTCGTCCGGACCCTTTTCGGCTTCGACGCCCAAGACAGGAACGACAGGGTGCTCAAGCTTGTATGGGACTGCATAGAGGGAACGCGCGAGCTTCTCATCTCAGGCGGGTTCCTCATGGACTTCTTTCCCATCCTCCGCTTCGCCCCATCGTTCGTCCCTTTCCAGCGCAAGCTTGCGAGATGGCGCACAATAAACGAACACTTCAAAGACGAGCTATTTGCGCAGTACAAGGCGGAGTTGGCAAGTAGATCTCCGATGCCCCCGACCTCTCCGTTTGACGACATGAGTTTCAGAAGACGCAAGAGCGCGATGCGTACCCGTGTATGGTCGGCGAAGTCATTGCGAGCCTCACCGACGGGAGCGGAAGTGAACATATGCTGGCAAGTGCAGAACATATTGCTAAGAGTATCACACTGGACGCGGTCAATGGCAAGTGTTGCATTGTGCTGTTCTGGTTGTATTCATGACACTGCCACTGGTCTGTCACAGCCGGGACGGATACGGTACGTAATTTCCACTCCTGCTACTGGACGAGGCGCTCATTTATTCGCCTGCAGACCACGTCTATCCTCCAAACCATCTTCTTTGCCATGTCGCTCTACCCCTCTGTCCAAGCAAAGGCGCATGCAGAGCTGGACGCAGTAGTCGGGCCTGACAGACTCCCCGACTTCAGCGACCGCGAGTCCCTTGTATACCTCGACGCGATCATCAAAGAGACGATGCGCTGGATGCCGTCTTCCCCCCTCGGGCTAACGCACTGCACGCGGGAGGACGACATCGTGAACGGACACTTCATCCCCGCGGGCACGGTCCTTCTGGGGAACATTTGGTACACCTTGAATCTCCGTATGAACGTATGCGTTATACAATTCTCATGATCCGGGAAGGGCATGCCTTCACGACCCGGCAGTGTACGACGACCCAGAGACATTCCGCCCCGAGCGGTTCCTGCGCGACGGTAGGCTCGACCCGGACGCACGGGACCCGGGCGAGCTCTCGTTCGGTTTTGGACGGAGGTGCGCGCTCGCCTTGCAGCATCGGCTCCGTCTGTGCACGCACTAACCGTCCCGCCTGCGGGTATGGACAGAATCTGTCCCGGGAGACACTTCGGGCTCGCAGCGGTGTACATCAACGTCGCGAGCGCGCTGCACGTCTTCGACTTCTCGCCGCCTGTCGACGCGCATGGCCGGGAGATCAGGATCGAGCCGCGCATGGTCAGTGGCTTCGTCTCGTAAGTAGTCGTCATCTTGCGCAACACCATTGATCTAGGGCTAATCTACAGCTTGGGGCAGACGAGCCGAAGACGCTAGGTGTACAGTCAAGCTACTTCCCGAACGCGCCAAGCTCATTCGAGGTCCCAGGAGAACTTGACGCGTAGGGCTGCTGGCTGCGATAATCGGTTTTCGTGGCCTCAGCATTCAGTGGTGCAGACAACATGCCGGCTGTAAAGATAGTCTAGACGATGGAGAAAGAGCGAAGAAACCGACTCGAGCTGTCCTGCTGACCTTCAGTATGTCACATATGTCGACGTCCAGAATAAGCCCAGTGCATGCCGTACCAGTGATCTGTCAGTCAGACGCCCGATTGGAATGGGAGCTGTGGATACGTGTATAATGCGGCTACTTACTCAACTCCTCACTCATTCTGCAACTCGACTTCACGTCGCTCAGCACTGCGCATCATAGCGAAAAAGAGCAATAGTTCTCGCATCTCCTTTTCATCGGGACGATACATGCTGGAAGCCTTCGCCGCCACTGAAATTGCGTGGCGTCCAATTGAGAACATCATTGCCAGAAAAGCCGCAACCTTATGCGTAGGGTGGACCGGCGAGTCGGCCACGTTCAGCGACGTAACGAGCGACGTGTTCAGCCGGACCCGCGAGGCCACCTCTTCAATACGCTCCGGTATCCAGGAGTCAAACAGCTGCGAGTTGTTGAACCGTACAGCGAGGTGCGTGAGCTTAGGGCAGTGCACGGCGAAGGGCAGAAGTGCGTCGACGATCGTTACCGAATGTGTCTTGCCGCGCACGCAGGTATTGGCCACGCTTATGTCGATCGACTCGAGGAGAGCCCAGGCTTGGGCTATGGCCGCATATGCCGCGCCGTCTAGTACGTAGCGTGCAGCCATGGAGAGCTCGAAGACAGCGAGGTTGCTCAGCTCGAAGGGAGGCTGCAGATAGGGAAGACAGATGACCGCTTTGTGGTTGGGTTGTTCGTCGGTGACGGAGAGCTTGGTGATCATGGCTGGCGAAGATTTTGTCCGGACTGATGTAAATGAACGGAGGATATCGCCATTGTCGGAGGTGCCCTCTACCTGGATCCGCATGGACGCGACGCGCGGCAGGGCCGTATTGTCGGAGAAGTGGATGTAATCCGGAATCATGGCGGTGACCGTGATGTCTCGTAGACTAGCTAAGCCGTCTAAAGAGTCAGTGTCGGCGGCCAATGTGAAGGACCGCGGAAGACGGATGGCTAGGTTGTTGAGATTCGGCAGTCTTGAGAGGACGAGCAGTCCATCTTCGGTGACAGGGATGCCGTTGCACTGCAAGACCTTCAATGCGGATCGATTCTGGATGGCGGAGAAGAGCCTCAACGACCGGCAGTTCGCTCACATTCGTATGGATTCCGCACCACTCGAAGATTACAAGGTTGGGGAAGAGGACGAGGGTAGGATGGAACACTGATAAGTGATACAACGCCTACTCGGGACGAATATCATGTTGCAAACGCTGGCGGTCAGGGCCTTTATGATGGTGTCGTGATGATAAGTGTCGGACTAAGCCGGAGTACTTGAGGACTCTCGCCCATTCCTCTGGTGTTAGTAGACGGTTGAGCTTCTGCATAGCGCGGGACGTCAGACTATAACTCAAGCTTCCATGGGTCTATCTTACTCCAGTATATGCGTATGCGTCCTGAGCAAAGCAGTGGAACAATGGAGAGATGTCGGGGAGGTAACACCAAAGAACTTGAATTGATGGTTCATGGAAGGCTTTGCATGTCCGTGCGAGCCTCGCCAGACTAGCAGATGTGCAGATCATTTCCCGTATCTCGGTTATGGTCAACGCATGCTCCATGCTAGAGTCGCATGCAGTTTACAAATCTATAGTTGTGTAGGTTCTACAGATTTCCGATATATCTCATCAAATGAAATAAGTTTAGGAGACAAATCACTGTCAGGCCCACATGCAAATCGAGGTTCGGGAACCACTTACTTGCTCCGGTATCAGCTATGTTCTAACAAGGAGTAAGTATAGGATGCTCCGTTGCCGTTGGAGGTGCCGGCAGGGGCCTGAGCAAAGCTGAGGTAAGTAGCGCCCATTGGAAGAACTGCCGGGGCGGGCCTTTTAAGTCGAAGACGCGAGCAGCGCAGGGAGAGCAGACTAAGTAGTCCCTCATCAGCAAATGAACGAAACAGATGGTCAGTGACGTCCAGGTTTCGCCAGTCTGACCAGATTGACAGGGTATGAGCAAGGGATGGGAAACCCGTACCAAATCCGCCAGATATGGTGTGCAATGGCCAGACCTTGCAGGGCGCCTGGACATTGATAACCATTTCTCGCTGAGCATTCGGACAGCAGCTACCATACTGTAGGGGAACTAAGGCCGATAATGTACATTATTGACTGGGCTCATGAACATACATGGTCAGTGGCTTGTGCAAATTCTACCATACATGCCCACGCTGCGAAATGGTCACTTGTCACGTTCAAGAAGTAGCTGACAAATGATCACACAATTCGAGTTTGGTTTTCGATGATAATGATGATTGGACGCGAACTACTATACATGGAAGAAGGCAGACATGAATGTAGCCAGTCTACACACCTACTGTGCATGAAAAAAGCGGGTTAGGGTTAGCAGGGCTAGTCGCTGGGTGAGCAGGAGCAAGGATGCTCCCGAGGCCAAAGTCACAAGTACGCAACAATGTCTATGCAATCATACAAAAGGTAAGTCAGGCAACAAGGCTTACGTAAAGGGCAAGAGCGAGACACAACTAGTGTGTGCACAATATACATACCTATGGGATGTTTATGAGGAGCCGAAGGCAGGCGGGTGGAGCTAGACATTAGTAGCTACAGCCGTCTTGGCATGACTCACAAACATCAGATCCCAAGGGGCATGTTGCAGAACTGGTACGTTGTAGCGGGTGATAAAGGGGGGATGCAGACGCGGCGTGGAGAGATGGGGGTTTTGCAAGAGATGGTTCAGGGCAGGGCTAGCACAATGACAGGCCGTTGATTGAGTTGTAACCTAAAATACGCGTCATCGATGAGCAAGATTGAAAAGTATCAGTAGGGAGTACACGTAGAAAGAAGGCAGGGT